GTGGGGCGCTCTGACGTCGCGCCGGTGGTGCGGCGCGGCACGGTGGCCAGACGGCGTCGGGTTGGGCAGCAGCAGGGGTGTGCGGTCGTGGCAGCACGAGGCCAGGGGCGCGCACGCACTCACGCAGGGCAAAGCCTGTGACCGAGAAAAAGAATTTAAGGGTGTAAAACGACCCCGTTTTTGCCGCGGCTGCACAGCCGCCTGCCGGCAGCCTCACAATCCGGCCGGCCAAGCGCGGCCGGCGCAAGGCTGCGCCCCGCGTCGACAGGAACGCGCTCTCCGCGCGCGGCGACGGTGTGCCGCCGCGGCGTTCGCGCTCCTCATCGCCTGACGCGCCGCCTGCGAAGCGGGCCTCTTCTGCCGGCTCCTCCGTTTGCGGCTACGACTCCGAGGCGCCGGAGGAGATCCAGAACGAGGCGCTCTACCGGGCCTGCCGCGCGTACGGCTTAGGTGAGCAATTCCTCGCTGCGGCGCAGGACGAGGGCACATTCGGCGAGTGGCTCGACGAGCTACCCTTCGAGGTGGCTGCGGCGACCGCCCGGCTGCTCAAGCACCACGCGCGCTCCGGCGCGTGGGTCGAGCTCTCGCCCGGCAACCCTAGCCAGGCCTCACGCGCTGGCCGCGACCGCGACCGCTCGAGCCCGAACTGCCCGTCAGATATGTCGGAATTGTCGGAGAATAGCGACTAGCACACCTCTGAGTCCCAGAAACCCGAGGAGTCATACAGTCCACCTGTGTGATGCACGCCCTGCGAGCGGGGCGGGGTGCGCACTGTCCCTCTGTGTTCATGTGCGTCGCCCATCTCTCCCTGGAGATGACTGCTCTATTTATTTATTTATTTATTTTGCCCATGATCGGAGTGGGAGTCAGAAATGTGGTCCTCAGAGAAAAAGAAATTTACAACAAAAGCTCGCACGACATCGATTCACGCGACAGGCGAAAGAAATGAAGGAAACCAACTCCCTCTCACAACACACAGGTTCGACACAGGTACGAGAAAAAGAATGAGAGTCGCAAGATTCACAGCAGACGACGGCTTCGTGTGTGTGTGTGTGTGTGTGTGTGTGTGTGTGTGTGTGTGTGTGTAGCCACGCAAAGCTTGCTCGGATGGCACGCCCTGAGGAGGCACGGCCTGTCTGGAAGAAGCGGTTTTCAACCCCTGACATGCCATTCATCTGACATTCACAAACCTCACGCCCATCAAGGGATCGCGTGCTCATGTTCTGGAACGCGTGCCACTTCCATGTCATCCACGGTCCAGAGTATGCTCGCATGCCAGTATGATTTCCTTGGTACATGGAGCTTCCCGGGTCGGAGAAGGCGGGCTCGCTAAAGACGCTCGCCTCGTCCACGATGCTGAAGCCTCGTCCTGTTGTGGTGACCGGCCACCTTCTGTGCTGCAGAAAATATGCGAGCGACAGGTACTGATATCGGGTATTGCTGTCGCCCATGAACACGACGGATTTTCCCCGAAGCGAGGATACGAGACGGGCGTCCTGATCGTCGACGCCGTTGCAAAAGCTGCTTGCCACACGCCGGAGTCGTTCCTGGCGTCTGGGGTTCCAGCTCCAGACTCCTTCATCCACACGAGAGGGTGGCAGCATGCTGTCACAAAAGCCCGAAGGGAAGGCGTACGTCGTGGCGTTGCGTATCATATGTCGTACCTCAGAGGAGGTTGCCTGACCAAGCCTCTGAGGTATCCGACGTCGTACCTCAGAGGCGGCGGAGGCTGCGAGCAGGGCAAACATACGCATGATTCCGTAGGGCGCAGCGGCACTTACGAACACGGCGAGCTACTCGAGTAGCGAGCTTCGGCGTGCTCGCACTCTAATCCCGCTCACGACCCGTGTCTCGCGCCCCCCCTACCGCGTTGGTGTCCAGTCCGAGCCTGGCTGTTCTTCACCTTTACACCTACCTACCTACCCGTGTTATGGTCCTTTCCACAGCCCTCATTCATCCACCCCAGGCCGTGGTTTCTTAGCTCCGGCCGGCAAGCCAGAGAGAGAGAGCCGGCCCGAAGGATTTTTAGGTAAGAGGTAAGCTGCGGTCCGCGAGGGCGATGCCAGAGACTGCTGCCGAGTCGGCTCTCTGGATGACGGGAAGACGCACACACGCCTCCATCTACTCCACTCAGAACACCGCAGACTTGGAAAGTGACAAGTGCGCGCGCCGCAGGCGAACAGAAATTTTGAGCTGGGGCTCCCATTCACATTCGTGTCCGGCCTTTTCTCGGGGCCGCGCCTGCGGCGCGCCGTGGTTTCTTAGATTTTTGCGGAAATCGCTCGGCGTGGTTTCTTAATGCCCAGTGTTGTGCGAGGGAGTTTTGTTGTAAAATTCTTAATGCCACGTTTTCTTAATGCCCGCAACCCACTGTAAGCCCCGGGGCAGGAGCGGAACCCAAAGCGCAGAACCAACCCTCGGAGACGCGACCTGTGTTTACTTTACGGCCCTTTCCTGCGAACGCGCACCCCCCCAGGGCTAGGGCTCTCTAGCCCGTAACCCGATATAATCGATCATCCGGCCCGCTGGGTGCGCTTCTTTTAGCTCCCCGGCCCTGGATGTGAGGTTGATGACTGCACTCCAAGTGCTCCAAGTGCTGAACTCTACATTCGCTTTCCCCCCCTTCCAAGTTCCCCTCGGGGGGGGGGGGAAGTTTGCAACTACATTCAACCTTTCTACGTTTAGTTCTACGTGGGAAAAAATCGGAGCTCGAGTTGCACTCGTTCGCAAGGGGAACGGGAGGACCGAGGGCGCACCGGCTTTTTCCCCTCCGCATGCCGTGATTGATCCCCACAAGCGGCCCAGGATGGCAGAACTGGCCGTTGCCAGGCTGTGCGTGGACTATTGTGCGCCTCGGCGAGGCGCTTCCGGACATCCGTATGTATGTATGTGTAGTAAAGGTGAAGAACAGCCGGATTTCACGTCGACGTGTGTGTCGTGAGAGATACTGCAGTAGCAGATCCACACGCAGAGAAAAGCTGTATGAGCACTGTAACTGCTCAGCTCGAACCACATTGTGTTTTTTGTATGGCGCTCTACGGCTTTACGCGCGTACGGCTCTACGGGGGGTCCGCGTCGTGTCGCGGTGAGCGGGCGGGCGGACGCTGGACAGGGTAAAAGGGTTGCGCAGGGGGTTGGCGCGCGCTCTCGTTGGCTCGACGCTCATCAGTAATCTCGCTAATATAACAATCATCATATAGTCAGCTTGCAGAATCAGGCCGCGCGAGGGAAGCTCACCTCGACGTACCTCCCCGTGCAGTCCGCGTAGGCGGGCGTCACCTCCACGTACTCCGCCGCCTCGAAGGCGGCCTCCACCTCCTCGCGCTCCCGCCGCTCCGCTACCCAGCGGTGCACGAAACGAGCGAGCTGCTCTGCGCCCCACCCGTCGCACCCCGCCGCACCCTCCCCGTCCGCGGCGTGGAACTCGCGCAGCACTTGCGACGGCCGAGAGCCGCGCCGCAGCCGCTCCTGCACGAAGCCGAGGCAGTACCGGAATGCCTCGCCCTCGCCGTCCTCGGAAGGCGGAGGCGCCGCCGCCGCCGCCGCCGCCGCCGCCGCCGCGGCCGCCGCCGCCGCCGCCGCCGCCGCCGCCCTCACCGCCGCCGCCGCTCCCCCCACCGCCGCCGCCGCAAGCTTTGCTGGGCGAGCCCTCTTGCCCGCCCCCTCCCTCGCCTCCCCCCCCCCTTCCCCCCCTCCCCCCCTTCCCCCCCTTCTCCCCCCCCCCTCCGCCGCAGCCTCCTCCTCCTCCTCCTCCTCCGGCGACGGTACCGTGTGCGCGCGCAGCTCGAAGACGCACGACGTCCGAGGCCCGTCCGCGTGCCTACCCCGAGATCACCCGAGATCACCCGAGATCACCCGAGATCACCCGAGATCACCCGAGCTCACCCGAGCTCACCCGAGCTCACCCGAGCTCACCCGAGGTCACCCCGAGATCACCCCGAGATCACCCCGAGATCACCCCGAGATCACCCGAGATCACCCGAGGTCAGCCGAGGTCAGCCGAGGTCACCCGAGGTCAGCCGAGGCCAGCCGAGGCCCCTCCCCGCGCGCCCTTCACGGTAATCTCGAGGACTCTCGGGCCATCTCGGGCCATCCCGAGGACTCTCGAGGTCTCTCTAGGCCCTCTGGCGCCTCACGCGGTGCAGCGACGCCTCGTACCGGCCGGCGGAGAACAGCTGGAGCGACTCGCCGCACAGCACGAGCACCTCCTCCTCGCCGACGCACAGCGCCTGCTACGGTGGCGGGTTTCTCTTTCGTTTTCTCGGGGGGGGACGTCTCTGCTTGTTCTCTGCCAGCGCACAGCGCAGCGCCTTCCTTCTCTGTGGGGTTGGATTTGGGTACCGGGGTTGGTAGGGTACTGCTGGTAGGCGCTGCGCGCCTCTGCGTCCACCCACGTCGCGGTCGCGCGATCTAGCACCTGCAAGCTCGGCATGCTCGGTGTGAGGCGAGCACGGCGGTGGAGGAGAGCGCCGGTGACTGGTAGAATGACTCCGCTTCACTTGTGTCGCGAGTCGGTGACTGGTAGAATGACTCCGCTTCACTTGTGTCGCGAGTCGGTGACTGGTAGAATGACTCCGCTTCACTTGTGTCGCGAGCTGGTGGTTGGTAGAATGACTCCGCTTCACGCGTGTCGGAGCACCTGCAGCCCCGGCACGCGCGACGCAAGCGTGAGCGTCAGTAGGCCCGGGTCCGCGTGCGCGCGCCTATGCACGGCCCTGCATGACTCGGCTTGCTGGCTGGTTGGCAATGGCGCCTGCTCACACAGAGAAAGAGAAAAACACACGGTCCTACAGGGAGAGGCACTAGCGGTCGGAACAGCGTCAGCAGGCCGGGGTCCGCGCGCATGCTGGCCAGCCCGGCATACTGCCACTGGCACTGTCTACTGTCACTGGTACTCGCGCGCGCAAGCTGGCCAGCCCGGCATGCTGCCACTGGCACTGTCTACTGTCACTGGTACTCGCGCGCGCATGTTGGCCAGCCCGGCATGCTCGTTCGGGTACACAAACAAGTCGAGGACAGAGAGATCGCCGGCGGCGGCAGCCTGCGCCGCCCTCGCCGCCTCCAGCCGCTCGCCGCCGCGCAGTCGCCGCAGCAGCTGCACCGCGAGGCCCTGAAGCGCCGCGGCCGCAGCTGCGACGCACGGCCGCAGCTGCGAGCTGGGCGGCCTTGCCGGCCACGGCACGAGCTCAAGCGCGGTGGCGTCTGTCAGCAGGTGGAGCTGGTGCCGCTGCAGCCGGCCCTGCCGGTCCAGCACGCTGTTGACGCCGACGCCGGCGAGGGGCAGCCGCGAGCACTGCGACCGGCGGCGCGTCTGCGTGTGCTCGGCGTGCACGTGCCGCCGGGCGATCCCCATCGAGTGGCCGCGGCGTCGGTGATGCAGCAGCGCTCTGCTGCCCGCCGCCTCTGCTGCTACGAGGGTGGCGAGGTCGCTCTGCTCGAGGTGCGTGAGGACACAGTACCCGTGCGCGGAGAGGAGCTCGTCGAGCGCAGACGAGGAGGGCGAGAGCGCGAGCGAGAGGCGCAGCCGCGGGAGGGCGGACATCGCCCAGCGGCGGACTCGCAAAAAAATTCCGACCTCCGAGACTCCAAGTGCTCACTTCTCCCATCCCTCCCTTGGGTTGTCTGTTTTCTTTCTTTCTTTCACTGGGCACGGGACAGGCGGACGCCCAAGGGTGGGCGACGGCTAGCGCACCACACCCCTCTCCTTAAAATCCCTGTGTGGTGGCGGCGTGCCGTCCTCCCATCCCTCCCTTGGGTTGTCCGTTTTCTTTCTTTCTTTTTACGGGACTGGCACACACACACACACACACACACACACACACACACACACACACACACACACACACACACACACACACACACACACACACACACACACACACACACACACACACACACACACACACACACACACACACACACACACACACACACACACACACACACACACACACACACACACACACACACACACACACACGCACGCACGCACGCACGCACGCACGCACCTCCCCAGAAATCCCGAGGAGCCGTGCAGTGCCTAGATAAGTCTGTGTGCTGTGTGGTGCACGCCCTCCGAGCGGGGCGGGGTCTGCCCGTCGGGTTGCTGCCCTAATCCCACCAGGGGTTGTCTGCTCTTGAGCACTTGAGCACTGGATAGGGTCGATTCCGCATGGTACGGGACCCCTCGATCGTCTCGCCCTCCCTCACTGGTGTGTTCATCGGGGGGGGTCATAACAAACACGGTACAGTCTGCTCTATTTATTTATGGCGCGCACTGGTAAAGGATCCCAACGGAACCGGACCCTGTGAAGAAGGGGAGATACGGTCAGCGTTTGGGGCGGGAATGTGGGGAGGAAAGCTGCCGAACACGTGGGAGCCGATAGACGCGGAGATGTACGCGATACTCGGTACTCGCATACTTACGCAAAATGGCGAGCGCGAGCGATGCGCAATCGCGGCGGTGCTTAGTGCTATGCGACTGCAAACCCGCGCTGCAGCAGATTGAGAATGCGCACCGCAAAGGGATGCCAGAAGGCCTGAGGGACTGGGAGAGCGGTGTGCAGTGAGAGAGAGAGTGGAGTGAGAGAGTGAAGTGACGGTAAACGAGATCTTAGTTTGTACAGCTTAATGGAATAAAGGGAGGAGAGGGGGGTAGAAAGGTGTCTCTCTTTGCAAGAGGATGAGAAAAGGATGGATTCAAAGAAATAAAGCCGGATTAGAGGGGCGCAAGGACGCGGCAAGGGCAAAAGGGAGGAAAGAGGGGGGGAAAGGGAGGGAAAGAGAGGCGGGCTCCTGGAGGCGATTGCTTACTATAGATCGAAGCTAGAGGCGGTGGTCTTCATGTGGGTGCCAGCACACGTGGGAATAGCCTGCAACGCATACGCCGACGCGGTGGCGACAGCATACCTCGGAAATAACGACACGGAGGACGCCTCGAAAGTGGTGCGGGACGCGGTGCGAACGCGGCCATGCATGTACACAGCGAGAAGGGAGGCGGCAGAGGACGCAGAGAGGAGGGAGATAGTGGACCGACGGACGTACGGGCACATGTGTCAGAGCGCGCACGAGTGGGTGTGCGAGCAATATCGAAAGACGGTGAGGCCTCGACAAATGATCGCAGTGGGCGTCAGAAGAGTCGTCCTTGCTCGAGGAGAGCTCGATAGACTCGAGGGGCCAGGATATGCCGCGAGGAGGGCGAAGTTGCGCCGAAAGGCGAAAGAAGCCGCGAGAACAAGGGACCGGCAGGCGGCGGCGTCGCAGGCCGAGGCAGAAGAGAGCGACGCGACAGAGGAAGAAGTGACAAGGGAGAGAACGACGATGTAGTGGGACGACCGCGAGGTGGCATGAAGGTTGCAGCGAGAAGCGGCGAGAGACTGCGAAGAGAGATAGGAAGAGGCAGACTCCCTAGGGTGGGCGACGGCTAGCGCATCACACACCTCTCCTTAAAATCCCTGTGTGGTGGCGGCACGCCGTCCTCCCACCCATCCCTCCCTTGGGTTGTCCGTTTTCTTTCTTTCTTTCTTTACTGGACACGGACTGGCACGCACTGGCACTAACACAGGTACACAAGAAAAATAATTACCCTGCCTTTTTGTTTTCTTTAGTGCGTGACCCGTTCTTTTTCATTTTCAACCGAGCGTGACAGCCTAATCACCGCGCGAGCCGCTGTTGAGCAGAGCCGCTGTTGAGCAGAGCCGCTGTTGAGCAGAGCCGCTGTTGAGCAGAGCCGCTGTTGAGCAGGTCGCTGCCGCCACCTCTGTGGCCGACTCCCAAGGAGTAATACGTGATGCCGAAGAGCGGCGCTACCGCAACCTTCCGTTCTGCTCGAGCTCTTGCGTGGGGCAAGCCTCGGGGAGCGAGAGCGGCTGATCTCTCCGCCGCGGCCGCAGAGCAAGAGGACGGTCCCCAGGACGACACAACAGGTCGTCCAGCTGCTTTCGCCTCCCGCCACCCGCCAGCACCGCCTCTAGCACCGCCCCGTTCCACGCGCTCCGCGTTGCCGCCCCTGCCGCTGCTGTTGGAAGCGCTCTCTCTCGCGCGCCCCGGCGCCATCCGATGCCTACATACGGTCGCGCTCTCCCCGGTGCAGGAGATGCTCAAGTGGGCTGCACCGCCTCCCAGAACAACGAGACGGAGCTCCGCAAGCTCAGGGACGAGATCCAGTCGCTCAAGGACGAGAACCAGTCTCTCAAGAACCAGTCGCTCAAGCAGGGCGAGAACCAGTCACTCAAGGAGAAGAACCAGTCGCTCAAGGACGAGATCCAGTCGCTCAAGGACCAGCTCCACAACGTCGGCACGCCGAGCGCGATCGCCCCTTCGCGCGACGGCAAGGCCGACGCATTCCACGCACCGCTGCCTTCGCCCACCCTCACACGCCGCCATCCGCTGCCGCCTCCCTCTCCGCCGCCGCCGCGTCCGCGTCTGCCTCCTTCTTTCCCCGCCGCCTCGCCACCCTCCCCGCCGCCTTACCCCCTCCCTCTGTCCACTCCTCTCAGGTCGACGCAGAGCCCCCCGCGGAGTGGGGCGTCGCCGGCTGGGTGGACTCCCTCGCCCTAACCGAGGTGGTGGCCGAGGCGCTGAAGGAGCCGGCCGGCACCGACCCATTCAAGTACGTGCTCAGCCTCTCGCTCGCCGACCTCGAGAGCAAGCTCGAGGCGGTGAAGCTGAGCGGACTCGCTGCGCGCCTCTGGTCCGCCATTGAGAAACTGCACGGCCAGAGCGCCGCGACCGGGGCGGCGCTGAACGCCAAGTTCGCCGCGGAGGGCGACGCGTTCAAGGGCGAGATGGGCTTTGGCGGCGTCGAGCAGTTCTACGGAGGCGTGCTGCACGCCAGTAGCTTGCCTATCCTACCCGCCCACTCTTACCAGCGACCCCCGTCCCCTGCCCTGTGAGCAGGCCTCGAGAAGCTCATCGGGCCGCCGCTTATGGTGGAGGGCTCGCTCCTCAAGGCCATGGAGACGGAGCACTGCGCAGAGAAGGATGCGGAAGTGCCGTTCGACACCTCCAACGGCATCGAGGGCGCGACCTCCAAGCTCGAGTGGGAGTTTGTGGTCAAGCCCGTGGTCGCGGACCAGGACAGCCGCTACGCGGAGCGCGGCGGCGACTTCCGCACGGCTCACCGCGAGTGGTGCCGCAAGCCGGAGCCGCTCTCTGTCTTCGAGAAGAAGATGGCGGACGAGATGAACCCGAGGCTCGAGAAGGCGGGGCAGGCGCCGCTCACCAAGGAGGAGCTCATCGCCGGCCGGATGTACACGGGGCCGATGTACGAGAAGTACAACGGCGTCCTCCGCTTCTCCTCAGCGCGCGATGCCGACGGCGCTGTTCTGCTGGAGTACGCCTCGATGGAGGAGGTGCCCTTTCTGCAGAAGAAGTGCGGCTGGCTTCACCTCGGCGAGTGGGCTGCGACGGCGGCAGGCAAAGGCGAGGCCGCGGTGCGCTGGACGTGGCACAACCAGTACTCGACCACCATCCACGCGATCAACTCGATCATCGTCAAGCTGTCGCCGCTGACCAGGATCACGCCGCTCTACCGCGGCTGGACGGGCGCCACGCTCCCGGAAGCCTTCTTCAAGCCGGACGCGCTCGGCTTCCGCGGCGGCGTGGAGTACGGCTTCTCGTCAACCACCACCGACCGCGCGCAGGCGGTGCACTACGCGGCGGGCAAGGCGTCGACGGTGCTCGAGCTCGTGATGGGCATGATCGACCGCGGCGCCGACATCTCGTGGCTCTCGCAGTACCCGCACGAGAGGGAGACGCTGCTGCCGCCGCTCATGGGCCTGCAGGTGCGCCAACCTCGCCCCACCTCCCTCCCTGCCCCCTTCTCAGCCTCATCGCCTCCCCCCCCTTCCCGACACCTGCAGGTGCGGTCGACGGGCGTGGAGGGCAGCACGCTCGTCGTCCAGTGCAGCTTCTCCATCAATATGGCCTCGCTCACGCTCGAGCAGGTGGCGGGCAAGCGCAAGAAGCTGCTCACCGACATGGGCGCGCAGATGGCGGCCGAGGTGCGCCGCGGGGTGGCGGAGGAGGCAGCGGAGGAGGCGGCGCAACTAGTGCGCGCCCACCTCGGCCTCGAGCGATGCGCGGACGCCGGAGGCGCGGAGGACAAGCGACTCAAGGCGCCGCTCGGCGACGATGCTGAGGCGTACAACTCTGACGTGCGCTTCCAAGCGGCGGTGGGCGACGCGCTCAAGGTGAAGCGCGCGGCGGTGCTCGCGGCGACGATGCAGCACGGCGGCAGCGGGCTTGCCGCGGCGATGGATACGGTACTGCCGCTGCAGGCCGGCCGCGTCGATTTGACGGGGTTCGAGCTTGGCGGCGAAACCGACTGGATCAAGGCGAGTGAGGTCGAGGGCGAGTCCAAGGAGGTCGGGGCCAAGGTGATCTACGAGGGGCGCGAGATGGTCGTGAGCAAGGGCGTGGACTCCGACGGCGATCTGAAGCTGAATGTCGACGCTGATCCCGTGATGGTGGGAGCAGTGGTCGCGTGGATGGAGTCGGCGCCGTCGGCGCTGATGTCGCTTACGCTGGACTGGAGCAAGGCGTGCGACCGCGTGCGGGAGGCGGTGCTCGACGTGGTGCGGACGACGCGCACGCTCGTCGCGCTGAGCGTGGGCGAGAAGGGGGCGATGACGCTCAACCCGCAGCAGCTCAACGGGCGCGAGGCGGTGCCGTCGCTCGATTTGACGAACAAGGGCATCGGACCCGGATCGGCTGCCGTCATCGCGGCGGGTCTCTCGGTCAACGGGGTGCTGACCGATTTGCGCCTCAACTTCAACATTATCCGCGACGAGGGCGCGAAGGCGATCGCCGAGGCGCTGCGCAGCAACGGGGTCTTGACCAGCCTAAACCTCTACAGCAACTGCATCCGCGACGAGGGCGCGGCCGCGATCGCCGAGGCGCTGCAGGGCAACGGGGTGCTGACCATCCTCAATCTCAGCAGCAACGGCTTCGGCGACGAGGGTGCCAAGGCGCTAGCAGCCGCTCTTCGCGTCAACGGGGTATTGACCGAGTTGGACATCGGCGTGAACAAGATCGGCGACGAGGGTGCCACCGCGCTGGCCTCCGCTTTGGAGGTCAACGAGGTATTGACCGAGTTGCAGCTCGGCTCGAACGGGATCGGCGACGAGGGCGCCAAGGCGCTGGCCTCCGCTCTGCGCGTCAACGGGGTATTGACCTCCTTGGACGTGAGCTACAACAGCTTGACCGAGGAGGCGGCCCTCGGCATCGTGCGCGTCGAGCGGCAGCGCAACAAACTCACCTCGCTGAGCTTGAGTCGCTGCAGCATCGGCCCAACTGGCGCCGCAGAGATCGCCGAGTACGTGTCGGGCAGCGGGGTGCTGACCTCCTTGAAGGTGCGCGGCAACAAGATCGGCCCCACTGGCGCCACCGCGATCGCCGACGCCCTCAAGGGCAGCGCGGTGCTGACCTCCTTGAACGTGGGCGACAACTACATCGGCCCCACTGGCGCGACCGCGATCGCCGAGGCGCTGCGCGGCAACGCGGTGTTGACCAACTTAGACCTTCATCCCGGCTGTGGGATTGGCGTCGAGGGTGCCAAGGCGATCGGCAGTGCTCTCGCGGTCAACGGGGTGCTGAAAAGCATCGACCTCAGCGACAACAACTTGGGCGATGAGGGGGAGAAAGCGATTCACGATGCTGTGAGCGGGCGGGAAGGGTTCGAGCTCGAGATGTGAGGGGTGGATTCTGAGAGTGGACGGCGCAGGGGAGCGTGCGGGTAGTCAGACGGGGTTGTCTGCATATAGCTGCGCAAGATTTGTTTCTTTTGGATTTTGCGTTTTTCAGCAGGTGTGCTGAAGACCCTCAGCCTCTACACCAACAACATCCGCGACGAGGGCGCGGCCGCGATCGCCGAGGCGCTGCGCGGCAACGGGGTGCTGACCGACTTGAACCTCTTCAACAACAAGATCGGCCCCGAGGGCGGCGTCGCGATCGCCGATGCCCTTCGCGTCAACGGGGTGCTGACCACCCTCGCGATATAAAAGATGTAAAAGCATTTCCAGATGGCAAGCGGACGTCGGTAAAGAAAGAAAACAGACAAAAGGGACGGTTTAATCGAGACGCCGGAGACGCCGTGCTTGTCGAGCAGAGAGTCCAGGTCGTCTCTCTCGAGCATCGCGCTTCTTGCACCCCTATTCGCTCCCTCCACGACCTTCGCTGGGGCGCTGCGTTTGATTATTATTTTGTGCTGGTTTTTCTTTTTGCCGTTTTTTTGGATTCTCCCGCCCTCCCACCCTCTCTTGGATTTCGTCGAGACGTCGGTTTATTGGCACATCTCGATTTTTCAGGAGCGTCGCCATCCCAATCCGCAGTGAACGACTTGACAGCTTCTCGATCACCGCCTCCGGCACGGTCTCCTCCCCGCTGCGCGCGTTTGCCTTGCGCATCAGCGCGCAGAGTGCGCCGAAACGGCGGAGAAAACGGCGCACTTTTGCCCGCACCACATACGCGTTTTGCATGGTTTTACGCGCCCCACCGCCGGCCCAGACCGCCGCCCGGCCCGCCCGTCCGCCCGCCGCCTACGGTGCCCACCCCGCGCCCCCGGAGCCCGAAAACGGGGCGCCGCGAGCTCGCAACGCCGAGTTTTCCTCGAAATCACACCACATACGGGGCGAGCCCCCTCCAACCCACCCGCGCTAGGTCTCGGGTTTGAGGGATGCGCGGCCGAGCCGCTGGCTGGCTGGCGCCGCTTGAGCGTCCGAGATGGCCGCAGCAGAGGCCACGCGTCGCGCCGCCGGCCAAGCCCAGCCTCTCGGCGGTCGAGTCGGTCGAGCTGGCGGGCGGAGAGCCGCCAAGAGGGCAGCAGCGGAGCGGGAGAGGCCGTGCGAGCTTGCGCGAGCGAAGCCCTAGCGCTTCGGGGTCTTCTGATAAACGCAGTATGGACTTCGGGCGATTTGATTACCCGCTACTGGAGTGAGTGAGTATTACACACACACACACATGTACAACATGTACATGTATGTATGTAGAAAGATGAACAACAGGCAGGCTCGGACTGGACACCAACGCGGTATGGGTGGACGCGAGACAGATGATGACGACACGCACGAGCGACACAAAGACACAAACAGGCTCACAAGACACACAACCAGCTGGCTGCCACACACCCTGAGTTCGCGTACACATAACTCACACCCGCTACTGGAGCAGTTCCAGAGCGTCGGTCTTTTTTCGCTTGCCGTGGCGGTCCGCCTGGGTAGGCGTTTTGGCGCGAGTCACTCGACAGAACCCCTGGAGCCGGAACCCTGCGCGGTCATGCTCGCTCTCTCCGCCCTCCTGCCAGCCTACTCCCACCCGTCTTCGGTCTGTGCGGTCGGCGACCTGCATGGCGACCTGCAGCACGCTCTCGCGGCGCTCGCGCTCTGTGGCGCCGTCGACCCGGAGACGGGGAGCTGGGTGGGCGGCGCGATGACGGTGGTGCAGACGGGCGACGTGCTCGACCGCGGAAACAATTCCCTCGGCGTGCTTCGCGCGCTCTGGCGGCTACAGGCGGAGGCTGAGGCCGCCGGCGGCGAGCTGGTGCTGCTGCTCGGCAACCACGAGCTGATGAACATGCAAGGCAAGGTCCACTACGTGCACAAGGCGGAGCTGGCGGCGGAGGGCGGCGCCGGCGCGTGGAAGCGGCGCATGCAGCCCACCGTCGGCGACCTCGGCGCCGCGCTGCTGCGGCACGACGCCGCAGCAGTGCGCGGCGGAGGCGCCTGCCGGACGCTGTTCGTGCACGCTGGCGTGCGGCTGTCGGTGGCGGAGCGGTTCGGGTCGGTCGAGAGACTGAACGAGGCGGTGCGGGCGCAGATCGCGGCGCGCGGCGACGGCGACTTGCCTTAGAAGCGGAATCGAGTCCGTGTTCTTGTCCTCGAACCAGCGCTCAACACACGTACTCAGCTCCGCTCGACCGTCTTCCGCAGTATTCAGCTGCACTCACCGTAGGGGCCTCTCCATCCCTGCACAGTACCGTCCTCCCGCCCTCATGCCTGCGTATCCAGCACGCAGGCGACTTGCTCGATCCGAGGGAGGGGCCCCTCTGGTGGAGAGGCTACGCGAGGCCGCGGCAGGTGAGGGCGAGTCGCGAGGGGCTAGCCCGGTGTTTTCCCGCCACCACCTCGTGTGTGCGGAGAAGTGTAGCCAGCCTTACCCGACCCTATCCCCTGTAGCCAGCCTTAGTCGACCCTATCCCCCACCTGACCAGATCCGTCCTCGCGCCGGCCCAGGCCTTTCGGCGGGAGGAGCAGGCGTGTACCGAGGTGCAGGCGGCCCTGGGCGCCCTCGAGCCGAGCGGGTGCAGTACCCTACCGACCCGGCACCCAAACCCAAAGAAACCAAATAGGGGCCCTCGACCCGAGTGCTCGTCGGATGGCGGTGGGGCGCACACCGCGTTGAGGCCTCAGCCGTGAACAGCGTCTCTTCACAGCTGCACCTGTGCACAGGTGGGGCACAACATTGTGCCGTGGGTCTCCTCGCGCTGCGGCGGCACACTCGCGCTGCTTGACGTTGGCATGTCTTCCGCGTACGGCGGCTTGCCCGCCGCGTGGAGGCGCGGACATCGGCCGAGATCGGCGGAGATCGGCCGAGATCGCCCGCCGCGTTGAGCGCGGAGATCACCCGAGATCCCCGTGATGCCCTTGCCCCGAGGTTGCCCGAGATTGCCCGAGATCGCTCGAGATACCCCGCGATCCCCCGAGATCGGCTGAGATCGGCTGAGATGGCCCGTCAGTTAAGCATTCATTCGGAGTTAGTTCGGAGTTAGTTCGGAGTTAGTTCGGAGTTAGTTCGGAGTGAATTCGGAGTTAATTCGGAGTTAATTCGGAGTTGATCAGCTATTGATTAGAGAGGCTGCCCGCCGCGCGGAGGTGCGACGTCGGAGAGGAGGGCGAGGCGCGAACCGCGGCGCTCTACTACCACGGCGCCGCCACCCGCGGCCCCGTGCGCAGCGTCTCGCCGCCTCCCGAGCTATGCGATGCTTGCAGCCGCTTCACGCCGGCGGGCGGCGGAGGCGACCGCGCCGAGGCGGCGCGGCAGGAGAACGCCGCGCACGACTGCCACGAGTACTGCCCGCCCGAGAGGATGGAGCTCTAGATGGAGCTGTGAGGGACGCGGCGCCTGCCCGCCTGTCGGGGTCGGCGTGCGTGTGTGTGTGTGTGCGCGCGCCCCCTTGCGGCTCGGCTGTCGGCTGCATGGCTTGTGGTGACTCTGAGCAGTGACGAGTGAGGGATGGGGTTCTTGGTTACACTTTTAGAGAGAGTAGGCACGTCACGCCCCAAGCGGGTAAAGGGTGTGGACCGTGACGGCGTGAGAGTTCACTCTCAGAGTTGAGGAAATCGGAGGACGCGGAGGCCCACTTCGTCTTCGAGGGCTGCGGGACCATGTCTGGAAGACGGCTCGTGCTTTGCTAGTCCCCCGTTGGGAGGACGACCCCGGCTAGAGTCGCCGACCACATCCACAGAGAACCCTGCACAAAGATCGCAAGGGGGCGGGGACCTGTCGTCCATTTTACCCATCTCACAGAGAGTGCATGCACAACATGTACATGTACATGTTGTTGCAGAGGTGTCCGTTTTAATTTATTTATCGAGGGCTGCGGGTGATCAAGAAAAAGAACTTTCCGCCTTGCGGCATGGCTTGCGGAATGCGATGCCAGGCCGCAGGGCTCGAGTACCAGCTTCGTATGCCTCAAATAAAGGATTTTTCGCTAAAGACGTAGCCCGGTCGAACACTGCCCAAACAAATAAATTCCCCCTTTGAGCTGAGAGGTTTTGGGATTTCGCTCCGAGCGACGGTCCAACGAGAATCGTCAAAATCAGGCAACAAGAGACCGGTAGCGCCAGCATGTCGGTGCGTCTTTCTCATGCTCGCGCGCCCGCCGCGCCCGAACTATGCACGGGCCCGGCTCGCCCGCTTGGGGATCCACCCGGCACATCCCCGCCCCCCACCTGCCGGCTTGCCTGCCGTCAGTTCACGCCCTCAATTGTCAGCAACACAAATCCACCAGTTTTTGGGCTGGTTTCAGCCTCGCCTCACAGCCGACCTTCTGGTCGTACGCGGGTTCTTAAGGGTCGTACATGCCGGCCATGACGTCTGCCAACCGGCCGTTCGCAGGCGGTAGCTTCGCACGCCCCCGACAGCTCCGAGAATGACCCGCGCGAGAAGTGCGCGTCGGCGGCGCACTTTTCCTCCCAGGCTGTGACTGCTGCCCTGGCCACCCTGGCCTCCCTCGAGGGGTCGCCAGGACCCGCCGCGGCCCTGGCGCGGCCCACGGGGCGGCTTGATGCTCATCGACGCCTTCACCCTCGTCGGCCTGGCCGGAAAATACGCCAGCCGCTCGGGTGCCGCCCGCCTCCTAGAGGCCGAACCACCAGTGCTGTGAGTATTGACGCCCTCCCTGCACCTCAGGCGCGTCCCTCGCCCTCGCCGCCGCCGCCGCCGAGCCCGCCGCCGCCCTCGCCGCCGCCGCCCTCGCCGCCGCCACCGTCGCCGCCACCGCCGAGCCCGCGCCGCCGTCGCCCCCTCTGCCGGCGCCTTCTCCGCCCTCGCCACCCCCACTGTCGCCTTGCCCCCACCAAGCCAACCACCGCCGTCGCCGCCGCCGCCCAGTCCGCCTCCGCGTCACCGCTGCCTCCCTCGCCGCCGCCCCCAAGCCCGCCACGGCCGCTGCCGCCGAGCCCGCCGCCGCCATCGCAACCGCCTCCGAGCCCGCCGCCACCAAGC